AATTTGACAACAATTCCTGAAGCCTACATATCCTTACATCACTCCGCTAAATCGGTTCCTTTTTCTAAAATTATTCTTGACTCTCATTTGACCTTCTCATTTTTTATCAAAACAGCGAACGTTTTCCTTCAGTAAAACAGTGAATAATTTATGACAAAACAGTGAGCTGAAGGTCAACATACGATAACATTTTCAAAGGAATAAATTTTCCTAAAACTTACCACTCTAGTAGGTGCGCTACAATGGTGCACAAGATGTTGTCGTCACAACTTTGTTTAAGGAAAATCCTAGATACATATATAACATGCAAACATTCCTACCTTTTTAATATTTAAGATCATTTTTGTTTTATCCCAAAAGCTTTTAATTTAAGACTCAAAACAGAACCTAAAGGCATAAAATTTACAAATGAAAGGCTATTTTCTAAGTCATGCTTCACTATTTAAAATAAGAAAATGGTGGAGGGATTTTCGTGCCTACCTCTTGGCGGAGCACAAGGTAAAACCGAATGGAACCAAGGACACTACTTCAAGCTTTAATCTTCTCAAAACAACAAGCTTTTCTCTTCAAGGCCGACCATGTGAAAAGAGGTGAGGAAAGAAAAGGATTAACTTAAGTTAGTCATGAATTTTTCCTTCAAACCTCATGACGTAAATCATAAATGATGATGAAGTAGAGGCAATGTTTTACCTCTAGGGACTATGGTGCACGACCGAGAAGGAAGATATGGGAGCAAGATATGATAAAAATCCTTGGTTGATTCCAAGAACTCCACGGTTTAGATGAAAGATATAAGAAAATATGAAGGTGTTTCTTGTGTTGTCTTTCTAGGAGGGCTACGGTTTAAGGGTGGAGGAAATAAGAGGATGAAATTGAAAGTCATTTGCTTGGGGTTGCAAGGTCACGGCTTTGGAGTGAAAGAAAGCAAAGTTACTTTGGCTTGGTGTGTATCTTCAGCAACATTGGAGTGTGGAGGGAAATAAGTTGAGATATATTTAAATTGTAAAGTGTCTTACAATGCTGAAGACTTCCCCCATTTGGAGCGCACAAATGGGGTTAGAGTGTGACTTGTTTGAGCAATGCATATGCATGCAAGGCTGGCCACTTATTATCCATTGGATGCATGAGATTATTGTGTGGTTTATGGCTAGTCTTACAAGTAACCTATTTGCTTTTGTGCTGGCCTAGGCGTGAAAGAGAAATGGAAAGAGAAGTGTACATCTTTGTGTTGCTTTTGATCAGAATTTTCTGATCACAACCGGTTCCTTATGCGCTCAAATGAGAAGAATACACAATGGATAATGCTTTGTTGCCATGTGTAAACATTACCCAATGGGAAGTAGCTTTGTGGAATTACTAAGATAGGATGAGATTTTGGGTGGAGTGAGAGGGATTTGGGCTGAACCAAGCCCTTACAAAACCTCTTGGGCCAGCGCCACATTCATGTGATGAGGCCCAATTTATTTGATCCTAATGTTTTATATTACTACAAATTAGCCCAAGTGTTCGTAAATTTTTATATCTTGTTTGTATTTGAATTTTCTTCAACAAACCACCACTAGATCCTAGTTATTCAACTTGTCTAAAATAGTTCTTCATCAGTCCTTGCAATTAAATTAATTTCCCACATCTCTATTAATCACGTATTAATATCCTACTACTAATCATAGAATTCGAAAATTAAACACATATACCATGCGATTTAAATTATCATTCATGCATGCTTATACCTTATAATAATATATGTATTTCCTTAATTACGTGGGATGTTACACTCTCCCCACCAAAATGGAATTTTGTCCGCAAAATTAGATTTACTTACTAGCAAAATAATTCGGGGTAACGTTTCCAAATTTTGACTTCCCGCTCCCACGTGGCTTCTGCTGCCGATTTGTTGTTCCACAATACTTTCACCAACGGAATCTCTTTTGAACGAAGTTGTTTAACAGCTCTCTCCAGAATCTAGAACGGCTGAACCTGGTACGTCAGATTTTCCTTTAACTCGACCTCTTCTGGTGGCAACACGTGAGACGGATCAGAGAGATATCTCCTCAATTGCGATACATGGAATACGTCATGGTTCCAAGACAGATTAGGCGGTAACGCCAACCGGTATGCAGACTCTCCAATCCGGTCCAGGATAAGATACGGTCCTAAATACCGCAGACTTAATTTCTTAACTCCCATTCTCCTGCCGAGTCCCGAGGTGGGTGTGATTCTCAAAAACACATGGTCTCCCACTTCAAAAGATAGCGGCTTATGACGCTTGTCGTAATAATTTTTCTGCCTGGCCTGCGCTCGCTGCATATTTTCTCTTATCTTCTTCACCTGTTCAGAGGTCTCTTGAATCACATCGGGCCCCAAAATGCTTCGCTCTCCAACTTCCGTCCAACACAGAGGGGATCTACATTTCCTTCCGTACAGAGCTTCATACGGTGCCATCTGAATACTGGAGTGATAGCTGTTGCTGTAGGCAAATTCTATCAAAGGAAGATATTGGTCCCAACTGCCTCCTTGCTCCAATACACATGCCCACAACATGTCTTCTAAAACCTGAATAGTGCGTTCTGACTGACCATCCGTCTGCGGGTGATAGGCAGTGCTCAACCTCAAATGGGTCCCGAGAGTCCGCTGAAAAGACTCCTAGAATCTGGAGGTGAACTTGGGATCACGATCACTGACAATACTAGTAGGAACTCTATGCAGTCTCACAATTTCACGAAGATAAATTCTGGCAAGCTTCTCTGTAGTATACGTGGTTCGAACACAAAGGAAATGAGCTGATTTCGTTAATCGATCAATAATCACCCATATAGCATCATAAGCATCTCGCATACGAGGAAGTCCTACCACAAAATCCATAGCAATACTGTCCCACTTCCATTCGGGGATCTCCAACGGTTGAAGAAGTCCCGAAGGTCTTTGATGCTCATACTTCACCTTTTGGCACGTCAGGCACCGAGATACATACTCAGCAATGTCACGCTTCATTCCTGGCCACCAGAATGACGTCTTCAAATCATGGTACATCTTTGTGGATCCTGGATGAACAACATAATTCCCTTTATGGCCTCCTACAAAACTTCTTACTTTAACTCTTCATTCGGCACCACCAACCGACCCTGGAATCTCAACATTACATTGTCATCCCAGACTACACCTTGATTACCAGCCAAGCTATGGACTAGCTCCTCATCTTTCTGAGCCTTTTTAATTCTCTGAAACAACTCATTCTCTATTCTTACTCGGCCCAATCTTATACTACGTCGTCTTTTAACCACAAACAGATTCATATCTCGGAAAGCCTCAAATAATTTCAACTCTTCAATCATTAGCGTTGCAGTGTGCAGTGTCTTTCGACTCAACGCGTCGGCTACTACATTTTCCTTGCCGGGGTGATATTTAAGTTCAAACTCATAATCTTTCAGGAATTCCATCCACCGGCGTTGCCTCATATTTAATTCTTTCTGGTCGAACAAGTACTTCAAACTCTTATGATCACTGAATACATCGAACTGCAAACCATACAAATAATGCCTCCATATCTTCAGTGCGAACACTATGGCCGCTAACTCCAGGTCGTGAGTTGGATAATTTTCTTCGTGAGACTTCAATTGCCGAGAGGCATAAGCGGCGACCATGCGATCTTGCATCAATACACATGCTAGTCCTTTTAGAGACGCATCACAGTATACTTCGAACTTCCTGGCTGGATCAGGAATGGTAAGGATTGGAGCACTAGTCAACCTATTCTTCAGTTCTTGAAAACATTCTTCACAATCTTCGGTCCACTCAAAAGGCACATCCTTCCGAGTGAGACGAGTGAGAGGCTGTACCAATCGCGAGAAATTTTGAATAAATCTCCTGTAATAACCTGCTAACCCCGAGAAACTTCGTATTTCCGTGACAGTTCGGGGTTGTTCCCAATTCATTATAGCTTCAACCTTACTGGGGTCAACTGCAATCCCTTCTGCGGAAATTACGTGGCCCAAGAACTGGACTTCACTGAGCCAGAACTCACACTTAGACCACTTTGCATACAGCTGCTTCTCCTTTAAAATCTGCAAAACAATCCTCAAATGTTCTGCATGCAATTCTTCATTGACAGAATAAATCAGTATGTCATCGATGAACACAATAACAAACTGATCCAAGAAGGGACGGAAGATGCGGTTCATGTAGTCCATGAATATCGCTGGGGCATTTGTGAGACCAAAAGGAATCACTTGGTATTCATAGTGCCCATAACGAGTGCGGAAAGCTGTTTTCAGAATATCCTCCGGTTTGACCCGGATTTGATGGTATCCCGATCGAAGATCTATCTTGGAGAACACTCTAGCTCCTCTAAGCTGATCCATCAAATCATCAATCCTCGGCAGTGGATACTTATTCTTCACAGTCACCTTGTTCAGCTGACGATAGTCCACACACAAACGTAGAGTACCATCTTTCTTCTTTATCAAAATTGCTGGTGCACCCCATGGAGAAATACTAGGTCTTATGAATTCTTTTGCCAGCAGTTCTTCTATTTGCTTCTTTAACTCTCGGAGTTCCAAAGGTGCCATACGATACGGAGCAATGGAAATAGGTCCAACTCCGGGAATAAGCTCAATGGAAAATTCTACTTCACGCTGAGGAGGTAATCGAGGAATTTCATCTGGGAATACCTCCTCGAATTCATTCACAACTGGTACATTGTGAATTTGATTTTCAACCGGGGTCTCAGCCTCGATCGTCAAAAGATAACCTGCAGCTCCCCGAAGAAGCTCTCTCCTAACTTGTAACAAAGAGATAGTAGCAAAAGACAGAAATTTACCGTCTCTCGGAGGAACGATAATCTTCCCGGCTTGACAGTCCAAGGTGATTTTGTTCTCCGCCAACCAGTCCATACCGATAATCACTTCGAAATTGAAAATCGGTAGAACCACTAAGTTGATTGTATAAATGCTTCCTTTATACTTCAAAAGAATGCCTCTACAAATTTCTGAGGTTGTGCATGCTCATCCAGTGGGGGTACTGATGTGTAACTCATAGGGTAACGGGACTGGGGTGATGCCTATTCTCATAGCTATATGTTTTGCCATAAACGAACAAGATGCTCCAGAATCAAAAATAGCAGAAATAGGACAACCATTAAGAATTATGTTACCTCGAATTAAATTTGGATACTTCTGGGCTTCATTAGCATCAAGGGTGAACACCCGAGCCTGAGCAGGTTGCTGATTAGCATTATTTTGACAATTATAAGAGAAATGTCGTGACTGACCACATCTGTAGCATGTATTGCTTCGCCGTAGACAGACTCCTGCATGGCTCTTTCCACAATTAGTACACGCACTGAGACCCTGACGTCCTGTTGAAGACTGACCCGGGGCATTATTCCTCTTGAAATTACCAGCCTGAGCTTGCATCTGTGGAGCCTTTCCTTTATTCATTCCAGTAATCTTTCTGAAGAATTTGCCCACTCTGCTTCCTCCCTGCTGTTGCACAGGTTGTCGGTTCAAATTCCTTGCTTCAGTGATAATGTCCTCCGCTTGCCGACTCTGATTAATGATTTCTGGCAGAGTACGAACAGTTGTGGTCAACATTAGCTTTCTGATCTCCGGGTGCAATCCGCTTTCAAATTTTTCCACCTGCCATTCCTCATTGTAGATGTTTCGGTCGAAGTTGGCATATTCCATCAGCTGAGCAAACTTTGCAATGTATTCATTGATAGACATGTTCCCTTGCCTCAAAGACAGCAACTCGGTGTGCTTCATTCTTCTCATTGCTTTTGGAAAGTACTTGTCCAGAAATACCCGCCTGAATACAGCCCAAGTCAAGTCAGTGTTCTGAGCTCGCAGCAGAGCTCTAGCGCCAGTCCACCATGTTAATGCTTCTCCCGTTAGCTGGTAGGAGGCATAATCCATTTTCTGAGCTTCTAGACATCCCATTCGCTCAAAAATACGCTCCATCATCTGCAGCCACTTCGCTGCAGCTTCGGGTTTGTCACCACCTTCAAATACAGGTGGTTGGAAATTACGGAAATCCTTCAGCCTTTGTCTGGCAATTTGTTCTGCATTGTCTTGCAGTGGGGGTTGGTTCGGGTGCTATTGTTGGTAGTCCCTCCACTCTTGACTCATATTGTTGACGAAAGTGGCCAACCCGCTAACAGTGGTAATTAGATCGTCAGGTGCATTTCTTGTTCTTCCCTGAGTGGAACCACGAGTACCTGCCATGTCTCTGCACTCACAATAGCACGAAATGAGCTGATCAGACTCACTGCGAGTTATTTATGACAGCAATTCCGAGTAGGTACTCCAGTTCAATTCAGATAAGTTAGTAGTGCACCTGTTCCTATCATTATTTAATTCTAACAATTCTAACTTATGACAATTTAACATATATTCTAAACAATTTATCGTAAAGCAAACAATCAATCATTTATCAGTCATCAATCAATTCACAAGAAGCAAACAATTCAATCAAAACCGTCACCATGAATCAAAACTGCTCTGATACCAATTAGTGTAACACCCTCTCTTGTATGCATCCAAGAGAGTCGTTTGCTAATCGTTATTAGAGTTACGGAAGCGGATAAAAACTTTTTCTTTAAATACTTTTGAGTTATTAAAGTGGAAAACAGAATCTAAGAAGAATCTATTGATAGAACTTGATAAAAACCTTGTTGTTTGCACAGCGGAATTTCCAAAACCAGTCAGCGTTCAAATATCAATATAAAATCGATCTTTCAAACTATTTTTGTACAGTTAACGGAATCTGAAAGTAGACGTGTGGTGCTTCGTGTGCATATAAAATAATAGAAAATCGGAGGTCATTTGCCCTTTGAAACGTAACTCGTAAGTTGACCGTAAACTGTTAAAATTCAGCATTTAGAAAAATTCCTTTTCGCAAAACATTTTCAGATTTTCTTAAAATAGCCGCTGTACGTAGAAGACTTTAAAACAGAAATAAAATCATAGTTTTACAGTCATCCAAAAAGTCATCAAGTACCACATCATACAGTCATCCGAAACTTAAAACAGTCATCATGGAATAATGCTAATCAGCAGCAAAATACAGCAAAATTCGAACATCCAAGTCCTCAAATGCTCTTACGTCCTCCTGCAATTTAAAAATTGCTGCCCCAAAGGGGTGAGAATAATCCCAGTAGTGTGGCAACAAAACCATAAAGCAACAATATTAAACTAGGCACAAAATCATAAACAGTCGCTTCAAACATTAAAACCTTTTCATCATATATCCTTTTCATCATATATCACATAGCGTATATAACGCCTTCTTCACGCTAATAGCACCGTCGTGCGCGTGCATACACAGTGGAAATTCCATGCACGACACCATCATTTGGGTAATTCCACTGTGGCCTATGCGGACTGACGCCAACTGTCCCATACCCTGATATCAAGGGATGCCTATATGATGCGTGCTCATACACATGATCCTGTGAATAACTATTCTACATTTCAAAGCCTGCATGAATCTATTGTGTACATGCCCTGAAATGCGGTCACACACCAAACATAAAAATGCATCATGATGTAAAAATGCATGCATATACCATTATCATCATTTCATGTTCTTACCTTTGCCATATCATCATCATAAAATATCATTGAACATATGTGAGCAACACATTACAATTTCATACACTAGCTAATAGTCACATTAGGTAATACCACCTAACACATACATCGTACGACGAAACTAACTTTACCGATTCACAACGAAACAGTCCAACGTCTCAAAAATTTTTCGCACCTATTTTACATTATAATAAATCAGCATACGTTTCACTTAAATTTAATAATTTGACAACAATTCCTGAAGCCTACATATCCTTACATCACTCCGCTAAATCGGTTCCTTTTTCTAAAATTATTCTTGACTCTCATTTGACCTTCTCATTTTTTATCAAAACAGCGAACGTTTTTCTTCAGTAAAACAGTGAATAATTTATGACAAAACAGTGAGCTGAAGGTCAACATACGATAACATTTTCAAAGGAATAAATTTTCCTAAAACTTACTACTCTAGTAGGTGCGCTACAATGGTGCACAAGATGTTGTCGTCATAACTTTGTTTCAAGGAAAATCCTAGATACATATATAACATGCAAACATTCCTACCTTTTTAATATTTAAGATCATATTCGTTTTATCCCAAAAGCTGTTAATTTAAGACTCAAAACAGAACTAAAAGGCATAAAATTTACAAATGAAAGGCTATTTTCTAAGTCATGCTTCACTATTTAAAACAAGAGAATGGTGGAGGGATTTTCATGCCTACCTCTTGGCGGAGCACAAGGTAAAACCGAATGGAACCAAGGACAAAACTTCAAGCTTTAATCTACTCAAAACAGCAAGCTTTTCTCTTCAAGGCCGACCATGTGAAAAAAGGAGAGGAAAGAAAAGGATTAACTTAAGTTAGTCATGAATGTCTCCTTCAAACCTCATGACGTAAATCATAAATGATGATGAAGTAGAGGAAACATTTTACCTCTAGGGACTATGGTGAACAACCGAGAGGGACGATATGGGAGCAAGATATGATAAAAATCCTTGGTTGATTCCAAGAACTCCACGGTTTAGATGAAAGATATAAGAAAATATGAAGGTGTTTCTTGTGTTGTCTTTCTAGGAGGGCTACGGTTTAAGGGTGGAGGAAATAAGGAGGATGAAATTGAAAGTCATTTGCTTGGGGTTGCAAGGTCGCAACTTTGGAGTGAAAGAAAGCAAAGTTACTTTGGCTTGGTGTGTATCTTCAGCAACGTTGGAGTGTGGAGGGAAAGAAGTTGAGATATATTTAAATTGTAAAGTGTCTTACAATGCTGAAGACTTCCCCCATTTGGAGAGCACAAATGGGGTTAGAGTGTGACTTGTTTGAGCCAATGCATATGCATGCAAGGCTGGCCACTTATTATCCATTGGATGCATGAGATTGTTGTGTGGTTTATGGCTAGTCTTACAAGCAACCTATTTGCTTTTGTGCTGGCCTAGGCGTGAAAGAGAAATGGAAAGAGAAGTGTACATCTTTGTGTTGCTTTTGATCAGAATTTTCTGATCACAACCGGTTCCCTATGTGCTCAAATGAGAAGAATACACAATGGATAATGCTTTGTTGCCATGTGTAAACATTACCCAATGGGAAGTAGCTTTGTGGAATTACTAAGATAGGATGAGATTTTGGGTGGAGTGAGAGGGATTTGGGCTGAACCAAGCCCTTACAAACCTCTTGGGCCAGCTCCCCATTCATGTGATGAGGTCCAATTTATTTGATCCTAATGTTTTATGTTACTACAAATTAGCCCAAGTGTTGGTAAATTTTTATATCTTGTTTGTATTTGAATTTTCTTCAACAAACCACCACTAGATCCTAGTTATTCAACTTGTCTAAAATAGTTCTTCATCAGCCCTTGCAATTAAATTAATTTCCCACATCTCTATTAATCACGTACTAATATCCTACTACTAATCATAGAATTCGAAAATTAAACACATATACCATGCGATTTAAATTATCATTCATGCATGCTTTTATCTTATAATAATATATGTATTTCCTTAATTACGTGGGATGTTACACAATGCTAGAATCTATACACCTTTACATATTTATTCTAAGTCCTAAATGAATATACCATTGAGATCTTAGACTTGGCTTGATGCTTGATTTGCATGCTTTCACATTTGCTTGATTTCTTTTGGATGTTGCTTCGTCTTTGAGCATTCCTCTTTGAGTTTGTTTGTTATCATCAAAACTATGTTGACGTGAAATCATCAAGGTATTAACTTTGAGTATGTGGCAACCACATCATCACTTTGATTCTTCAATCTCCCCCTTTTTGATGATCACAAACTTTAAATTGAGAAAGAGAGTTAGTGTTGCATAAATTTGTTCATTTGAAATTCGATACTCCCCCTTAGATGATGGTATAGTTTATTTTAATGATTAAGTTTCAATATCTCCCCCTATTTACCTTACATCTAGAATATTTCTTAATTTAATACATCTTACTCCTTTTCTCCCCCTTTGGAAACATCAAAAGGAAACGAGTAATCCAATAAATAAGATAACATAAATGAGCATGCAAGCAATGAAATAGTATGATCAAAGCACAAGGAAAATACGATGCATATCATTAAGCAAAAAATGGTACATACATCAAATAGATACGCATAGTACTCAAACATAACATCAGCCAAAAAGATTACAAGCGTCTCAAAAATCATAGTCTATCTAAATAACAACAAACAGTCCTATAGACTAAGAATCATCCTCGGAGCCAGAAGCTATAGGAAGATGCTTGATGGGACGTAAATTCGTTCCCATCTAAGCCCATTTTGATGGCAAAATACCATATGTTCCCTCATCTGATGAGCAACTTCAGCATGAAAATCACTTGTTTTACACATTTGTGACAAAAACACAGTGGGGGAACGGATGGTAACGTATTCCTTTAAAATATATTAAAAGGGGAACGGACTGAGACGCATTTAATGCACCTGCTCCATTCATTTAATGCTTCTGTACACTTTGCAGGAAACGTAGAGTTGAAGACTTCTAAAAAGCAAGGTGGTGCACCAACTGAGCAGCTGAAAACATGAAGAGCAGGGAATCAAGAGTTCTTATTGGCTGAAAACAGAAGCAAAACGTGGGAAAACCTGCAAACTACGACTAATCTTCACCAAACCTTGTTCCATCCAGCAATTTGCACAGCTTCCATACTCTGCTCCCACCAACCCGTCCCCTCATTCAAGCAACTTGCTCCAAAGGATTTACAAGCTTGCCACTCTCCTTCCATCTATAAATAGGACCACCCTCATACAAAAACATCATTGGATTCTGGAGGGATTAAAGTCCAGAAGGAAGAAGATCAACTAGTAGTAGTAGTAGTCAGTAACGTAGTTTAATTTTAAGTTGTAACTGTAGT